CTGGATGGTGACTATCGCCCCTATATGACGCACGGCTCATCATCGCCTCGTCCTCACATTTAGACCGGCCCCAGCGCCGAAGTCCTTATCTAGTGACCAGGCTCGCCATTCCCTTCCTGGATGGTGATCGTCGCCTTCATATGACGCATGGCTTATCATCGCCTCGTCCCCATATTCGGACCGGCTCACCAACGTCATCGTCCCCATATTTGGACCGGTTCGTCAGCGCTGTCGTCCCCATATTCGGACCGACTCATCAGCATCGTCGTCCTCATATTCAGACAGGCGTCCACCGCCTCGTCCCCCTATTCAGATATAGCGAACATCTTGCGGTCTCCGGCCGAAAGGCTAAAGGAGCCCAGAGTTCGGCCATATATCACTCCGTCATCTTTATTTGATGACGCGAAGCTCATTTGCAGGCCCATCGGCCATATATCGCTCTGTCATCTTTATTTGATGATGAAGAGCTCATTTGTAGGTCCATCGGCCATATATCGCTCTGTCATCTTTATTTGATGATGAAGAGCTCAGTTGTAGGCCCATCAGCCATGTATCGTTCTGTCATCTTTATTTGATGACGAGGAACTCAATTGTAGGCCTCTGAGCCACATCTTGCTCCGTCATCTTTATTTGATGATGTGGGAGCTCTCATATAGGCCTCTCTCGGCCATACATCACCCCGTCATCTTTATTTGATGATGTGGGGCTCTCATGCAGGCCTCTCGGCCGCACCATCGCCCCGTCGTCTTTATTTGACGACGTGGAGCTCTTATGCAGGCCCCTCGGCCGCACCATCACCCCGTCGTCTTTATTTGACGACGTGGAGCTCTTATGCAGGCCTCTCGGCCGCACCATCGCCCCGTCGTCTTTATTTGACGACGTGGAGCTCTTATGCAGGCCCCTCGGCCGCACCATCGCCCCGTCGTCTTTATTTGACGACGTGGAGCTCTTATGCAGGCCCCTCGGCCGCACCATCGCCCCGTCGTCTTTATTTGACGACGTGGAGCTCTTATGCAGGCCCCTCGGACGCACCATCGCCCTGTCGTCTTTATTTGACGATGTGGAGCTCTTATGCAGGCCCCTCGGTCGCGCCATCGCCCCGTCGTCTTTATTTGACGACGTGGAGCTCTTATGCAGGCCCCTCGGCCGCACCATCACCCCGTCGTCTTTATTTGACGACGTGGAGCTCTCGTACAGGCCTCTCGGCCCATCGGCCTTACGTTCTGGTCATCTTTATTTGATGAACCAGACATCATATTGTGGACGGTCGCTCGACCCATCCCTTAGTCATCTTTATTTGATGACTAGGACTACTGATCATGATGAGCTACCCACATCTAGAGATCGGCCTCGACCATCCAGCAGACGGGCACCGCTGCAGCTCCATCTCCAGGCCGAAGGGCTCGCACCTTTTGTTTCATTTTGGGGGCATCCGGTGTACTCTTTTTCCCTCATTAGGATTTTTTCCCACAGGGTTTTTCCTAATGAGGTTTTTAACGAGGCATCTCCCCATCGTGGATCAAAAGGTGTCAACCCTCGGCCCCCTGTTGAAGACATCATCCGACACTCATTACTCTACTCCTCTTCACCTCATTACACTCGCCTCAAGGAGTGGGGGACTGGGAGAGCGGGGGACTTAGCGCCTCCGTTAACCAAAGAAGCAGAATTTCAAATTTTTGTTCATGAAGTTTACTCACCAGACGATGAAAGATCAGCACACAATTCTACTCTCTTTCGCCTCGAATACTCTCGACTCAGAGAGTGGGGGACTCCTGATAGAGTATATAGACTCGGACCCCCGGGTCTCACGACTATTGGACCCGGACAGCGGCCCACATACGCTCAGTAGATAGCATTTATTTCGTTGTACACTCCATTTTATTCATGTATACCCGTTAGAATAGATTAAATACCATTTGTTAGCCATTTATTGGCCTTTTACTGTAAATGGGCCTTCCAGGCCCAAGCCTGGAAGCCCAGCCCGCTTTTCTCCTATAAATACTCCCTAAGGGAGTCATGTAAAGGGTTAGAAATTCATTATATATATCAATTTATCTCTCTAGCTCTCCCTTCTCTCTAGGAGTTAATACTCCATCATCATTATTTGTGTCATTTGAATGGTAATTTTCACCCCTCACGGTTGCAAATGGTCTAACCAGCTGGCTAGAATTTTATGTTACATGTTACTCCCTCCGTCCCATATTTAACTCCGATTTTGACCGGGCATATGTTTTAAAATAGTGAGATTTGTGTGGTGGAGAGTTATGCAGAGGAGAGAGAATGTGTAAGAATGGTTGTGAATCACATATTCTTTACCAAAAAGAGAAAAAAGAGATAAATTTGGGACGGATCGAAAAGGAAAGAATGAAGATAATTCGAGGACGGGGAGAGTAATAATTTTCAAGAATAACATCATTAGCATAACGGTGAGTACTCTGACAGTTCGACTTGACTATACAACTTAAATCAATACACCATTTTGTCCCAATTTGAAACTCACTCATTGCTTTTTGGAACGGAATTTTACGTAGGCCAATTTTTGTAAAGATTACCTTTACACGGAGTAGCTTTATGACTAATGAAGTGCAGAAGTGGGGTTGAATTACTAGAGGCTGATTCTGGAGTAAAGATAGAAAGAGGAGTATAATTGATTGGAAAGTCAGGCCGCGATTGGGGCGAGACCAGGACCGGGTCAGGCCTCAGGCCGGGATTGGGGCGGGACTGGGTTTTGGGGTGAAGACCCGACACCGGCCCGAGTTGGAACCGGGACCGGACCAAGCCAGACCCAAGTTGGAACCGGGACCGGACCAGGTTGGACCCGGGTAGGAACCGAGACCGGGCCAGGCCGGGCACGGGTTGGGCCGGGGTTTTTTTATTTAAAAAAATTGTTGAAAATAGAAAAAAATCAAAAAAAGAAAAAAAAAGTCCCAGACGAGCCCCGGACCGGTTGGGCCAGTCCACCTTTCCAATAGCCCGAAGCCCCCCATAATACCCCTAGTTCGGACCCCCAGTCCCGGTCCTAATCTCGGTGGGCCGGGTCAAGCCGAACCGACCCAGTTCATGCCTAACCCAAACCAATAAAAAATGAAATGAAAATTGATATACCCACCCTAGTATATATACTACCTCTGTCCCAATTTGATGTTGTTATTCACTTGATCAACACAAATCACTTCTAATCTCTTACTTTATATATCAATTTTTTATCAAAATTTGATTCAGGATTTTGCAACCTTGTAAAGCTTTTAATGTAGTTTCTAAATATTAATTTTTTTCTCTAAAAGTAGTTTGAATGCAGACATGAATCCATTTGTTTTATCATTGGTCAAACATTGTAAATCGCAATGGTATCATCAAATTAGGGTGGAGGCCGTAATTACTACGTACTCCCTCCGTCCCTAATAACTTTGCCAAGTTTGACCGGCATGAGGATTAATAAAGTAAAAACTGTGTGGTTGAGGTTTGTGCAAAGGAGAGGAAATTAACTAGAACTAGGGGTGGATTCGGTTCGGGCCACCCGGCCCGTGACCCGGCCTGGCCCGCTACTGTGCGGGCTCGGGACCGGCCCGGTCTGACGGTCCGGGACCGGGTGTAGACCCGAACCGGTGTGGATGGGCGGAGCGGGCTCGGTGCCGGAAAAAGTTGACCCGGCCCGGCCGGGTCGGGCCCGGGTCCGGGTCCAACGGTCCAATTTTTTTTAAAAAAATTGTTTTGGCCAAAGTAGCCGTTGAGGGTGGGTTGGGGACAACCCAAACGGCTATATAGTCGTTGGGTGGGGTGCAGGGGGGTCCGGGGGTTTGGGAGGGTGGGGGGTAAAAAAACATATAAATACTCCTAATCTTAAACATTTTTCATCTCTTCTCCAATTCTTCCTAAATCCTATTCTTAACTCTCTACTCTCTAATTCTCTTATTCTCCAATATATTATATTTATTATTTATATATCTACTTTATATTAATTATCTACTTATAATTTATAAATACATACATTATAATATTATATTACTTATATTTGTTATCTAATTATATATTACTTATACATTTATTATATCTATTAATACATTCTACCATTTTTAACTTTTTAAGATGGAAAGTCAAGATGCCATTATACGGTATAATTTTGATAAGCAGAAGGATCCGAAGACCGGGATGTGGTACGCGACTTGCAAATGGTGCAGGAAAAAATGTAGCATGGGGGTTTCAGGCGGATACGGGATGACAATGAAGCATATTAAGTCATGTGACAAAGCCAAAGGATCGGGAGGTGCGAGAAGTTCCAATTGATTACAATTTACAAAATGTTTCTCTTGAAGTTTGTTTTAATTTTCAAATGTAGTTCCTATTTCATTTCAAATAAATGCACTTGAAGTTTGTTTTTAATACTTGTATAAAACTATAAAGTATGAAATATAAATTATAAAAAAAAATATTTAACCCACCCGGCCCGGCGGGTGGCCCGATCTGTGACCCGGGCGGGTGGCCCGGCCCAAACCGGACCCGTCCAACCCTCGGGCCGGTCCCGAGCCCATGTCATACAAACCGGCGGCCCGACCGGGCCTAGGCCCGGCCCAGGCCTGAGTCCATGACTAACTAGAACCACAAATTCTTTACTTAAAAAGAAAAGTGGTAAAGTTAGTGGGACATCCAAAAAAGGAAAATTGACAAAGTTATAAAGGACGGAGAGAGTATAACAATGTTATACTAGAACTGAAACATTTCTTAATCACAAATGCTAAAGATATCCCAAAATGTACCTCATTTTTACCCCCCACCCCCTAATGTGTGGCCATAAATGAGGCAACTCATTTAAGTGGGGCACCACTTAAATAAATTGACCCATTTATGGCCAAACATTAGATGGTGGGGGTAAATATGGAGTACATTTTGAGGTACCTCTAGCAAAACTCTTTTTTAATTCACGAATGGCTAAATTTTTAGGACTCGGAGCATTCATTCCACCATCTAGCAATGTCAGAAGATGCTAACAGTTACAAAGAGTGGGATTGAATAGTAAAGCATTAATTTTGGTACTAGTCATTGCCATATTGAACCTCTAGCAAAACTTTTTCAATGCTTGTTGTCCTGACAAATATATACGGAGTATATAATTTTTCGTACATAATACATAGGTAATGATTATGTGATAAAGCAGCAAAGCTTAAATTGATGTATGAAACTAGTAGCAAGTGGCCAACTTAATAAAATTGAACAATCTAAAATGGATTGTAAAAACTACCAAATCACAAAACCGTGAAGGGAAAAAACATTACACAGGAGCGAATCGAGCCTTGTACATGCAAATGTATGCCATATGCCAATCACCTGAAACCCATGCAGAGAGAATATGAGAAGGCTTAGATCTTGCCAATAATCATATTGCTTTTACTTTCTTTTTGAATATTTAGAGCCAATTTTGTAACACTTATTTTCACCTTATCAGCCTTAACATCAATCATTTTTATCAAAGACAAAATTTTTAACTTCACGTGCTGAATCGTGCAATAGTAAAAATAAGTAAGACCGGAGTAAGTTTTTTTTTGATGAATTGGCTGAAATTATTGCAGAAGTCTTGCTATTTTTCAGGTAATATTTTCTTAATTTTATTAATAAAATAAGGAAAAGGAGCAAATAAGGCCACGTACTAACAAAAAAAGGTCAAATAAGGCCTTATTTATGAGGCTCTGTCCGGCCTTCGCCATTTGGGTTCGTTCTCGGTGGAATTTTTTGATGAATATTTTTGTGCATCTTATTCAGTAAGTCTAGTTTACTCATACCAAATTTAAGCTAAAACTTCAATCGGGAAGCTATTCAAATGAATTCTTGAAGATAATTGCGCAGTTAGAAGCGCAATTATCTTCAAGAATTCATTTGAATGCCTTCTCGATTAAACTTTTATCTGAAATTTGGTATGAGTAAACTAGACTTAATGAATAAGATGGTCAAAAAAAATTCATCAAAAAATTCCACCGAGAACCACCCCAAATGGCGAAGGCCGGACAGAGCCTCATAAATAAGGCCTTATTTGACCTTTTTTGGTTAGTATGTGGCCTTATTTGCCCCTTTTCCCAATAAAATATACTTTAAATATTTTTTTATAATTCACCAGATTCAACCCATTTCAACCAATATCTCATCTATTTCAACAGATAAAGCTGATTCAGCCAGTTTCAGTATTACCAAACGGGTCCTTACATTTCTCAGCATTGGATAATAGTAATAGATGCATAAAATGAGTTTGAAAGAGTTTTTTCCGTTTTCGGTCCCTCGACTATTGGGTCAGCCGGTCAACGACACTTTTGGTACTTGACTTTCAATTTTTCTATTTTAAGTCATCGACAATTGTGCGAGAGACACTTTTAGTCCTCGACTTCAATGTTTCCCACATTTATTCCTCTGAGTATTATCAAATCGACACTTTTAGTCCTTTTGCTATGATTTTGTCACAATAAGTGGAGGACTAAAAGTGTCGCTATTATAATAGTTTGAGACTATTATAATAGTTGGAGGACTAAAAATGTCACTATTATAATAGTTCAAGGACTAAATGTGAAAATTTTCAAAGACGGGTACCAAAATTGTCTTTACCACAATAGTCGAAGGACTAAAAGTGGAAAAACTAAAAGTCGAGTACCAAAAGTGTCATTGACATAATAATAGTCGGAGGACTAAAAGTGGCAAACACTCGAGTTTGAAAGAATATAAAAAAATTGAGTTGGCACAAATCTTATCCTTCCTCATTTGTCCTTTATTTTCCTAACTGGGTGGAGTTTTTTAAAAAGAAAATATGTTTGTCACGCACTTACCTCCTCCAGAAAGTTTAGTAATGTCTTCCTCACGCTGTAGTGTTGGATTGTCATCATCAAATTGAATCCATTTTCCTAGAGTTAATAAAACATAAATTTTAAGAGCAATGTAAATTTGGGTTGAACGGAAAAACCGAAAACTGAATGAAACCAAACTGACTAGATTGAACCAAAACCAGATGGGTCATTTTCAATCACTTAACCAAGCTTATAACAAAGTTCGGTCTTTGGTTTGAAGCATAACGTTTCAGTTTATAACTGACCTTACTAATACTCAGGATACAAAAAAGATAGAATTACAGTAAGAATATAATAGGCTAGAGCATAAAGCCGTAAAGCTTCAAAGAGTTATCATGCTGCCCAGACGCCAATCTCTTGATGACGACAGTAATTTGTTATACTAATACAGCATGCTGAGATTCTATTCCCATGTACATGCATGGGGTTTGAAGGAACCACTGTTTTTAGTTCACACAATCACACTCAATGAAAAATAACACTAGTCATCAATTCCATACAAACACCAATGGTTGTACATTCCTTTATGTTTTGCCTATATGATACTTTTTTAGGGGTTTCTTCATGGAAATTTGATACTTCAAACTTTCAAAATAATTTCTGTAATAAATTATATACCTTTTTTTGAAGAGAAAAGGGGCAAATAAGCCCTCAAACTATTTGCGATTTTGCAATCAGGTCCATGAACCAGAAGACTTGGAACACCCCTCAACTCGTTGAAAATTAAGCAATCAGATACTTTTTACCTGCGGGTGCCGGTAATTTCTCATCTCCTAACCTGCACCAGCTGGTAAAAAAGAATCTAGTTGCTTAATTTTCAACGAGTTGAGGGGTGTATTTGCAAGTCTTCCAGTTCAGGGGCCTGATTGCAAAATCGCAAATAGTTCGAGGGGTTATGTGCCTCTTTTCTCTTTCTTGAATAATATAATAGCAAAATACTACTCCCTCCGTCCCATATTTATCTTCGTAGTTCGGTTTACGATGCTTGACTGACGATAAAGCAACTTGATCCCTGTTCACACTCGGATTATTTTTAGTAAATTAAATTTACATATTCAGAAACTACATTAAATCCGCTACAAAGGCTGATCAAGAAAATTTAAGTTTGATAAAAATTTGATATATAAAGTACAAGTTTAAGAGTAATTTGAGTTGACCGTGTGAATAGTAACTATGAAGATAATTTTGGGACGGAGGGAGTACATTTAATAAAAAAAACTAATTTTACCCTTTAACAAATAAGAACTAGCATTACTGCTTAAGTTTTACAAACGCATCTTGTTCTTCACTGATTTTAGACTTTTCTTGAAGTAACCGCAAGTTGTTTTTAAGGGCAGAATATATTGGAAATATGAATGAAGGAATCTTTTGTGGTATGTAAAAGATAATTTGGACTCCTGAACTGACCCAGGGCTGAACAAAAAAAAATCACATAAAAAATGCATTACAGGTGAGTGCAAAACAGGTGTGAAATACGTAGTAATAATTAAAAAGAGTTATAATCTTGAAAAACAAGGCAATCTCTGCGTGTTTATTAGTCTATTAAAATTTAGTAAACCACTCAACCAAACCAAAAAAAGACTGACCAGACCGACCAGTTACAACCTGGAACCCGACCAACCAAGTTCTAGTCAGTACGGTTCTCGGTTTCTTATTTTGGCCTTCCCAAAACCGACCAAACAGAACCGATGAACACAGCTGCATTAAATATAAAATGTATGATTGAGAGGAACTGACCATTTTCTTGTTTGACCCAGGCAACATAATGCCCAGAGTCTGCACTTCTTCCCTTATGAGTTAGCACAGCAACTAAATCATATACACCAGTCAATTGTTGTTCCTTTGCAGACATTGCACCTAAAGTCGAAATGTTTGCCAATTACATTCCACCAAAAAAAAGAATTACTTGCAATTTTTGTCAGTTCAAGTGTCCAACTATATATTTTCATTATCTTTATTCACTAATTTGAGTCATGTCATGAATTTTTCATTTCCATAGGTCCCTAATTAATATATATCTTTCTGTAACCCCACATGAACAACTACATAAATACGGAGTAATACTTGGTATAAAAAAATACATTAACTCATTACAGAATATATAGAAAATAAAGGTATATTTTAATGCTTCGGCTATACAAACTATTACTAACTCTGTCCCACAATTATCTTCCAAATGGGGTTTGGTACGTGGTTTGAGAAGGTGGGAATTGTGTGGAGAGGTGTGTAGAGGAGAGAGAAATGTGTAAGAATGTGTAAGGAATGTTGTGAACCACAAATACTTTGCCAAAAACGGAAAGAGTAGATTATTTGGGACAGACGGAGAAGGAAGGTTGGAAGATGATTCAAGAACGAGTGAGTATCTGTTAACCAACAACAACAACAACATTACCCCGTGATGCAAAGGCTCTCACCTACGGTGGGGTGGGGGGGGGGGGGTCGGATGTATACAACCTTACCCCTGATGCACAGAGAAGTTGTTTCTGACTTACTGCTGCTTCATAATAAAAAAGTGTAAACAATGTAGTGAGCCATTTTACTTTATTCCATCATATTCCATCAGCCAAAAATAGTGAGTCTTTGGCTCCATTGGAAATGATGGAAATAGGGCGTATATGTTAACCATGTGGAAATAATTACTACCTAAATCCCTCAAAAGAAGGACGTCCCATTTAACCAAAATAAACTGTTATAGTTTTTGTGAGATAAAATTATGGGAAATAATCAGTTTTAACTATAATTTCAATGTGTTGGTTTATCTGAATTAATAAATTTAAGGGACCTTCTGTAACATTTTGTTGGAAAAAACTTGTTAAATATAATGAAACATATATTATTTTTGTTCAAACAGGACTATCTTTCTTTGGGACGCTTAAAGATTTTTAAATAAGACTCTTTTTTGGGACTGATGGAGTATACTGTATACGCCTATCTTTGTGGATGGAAGGAAGGAATGTTTCTTACAACACCTAAGCTACTCTCCCTGAAGCACAATACTATAAGGATGGAGACATGGACTGATGCCCTAGGCACTGGGGAACAAAAATTCATTACCCCCTACAAGAGTACCTTCTTGTGGTGCAGACTTTGATGATGACTCTCCACTTGCACTGGAGGATTCCTGCAACCGTGGTAGAAAAAATAAATGTAACATACTAAATTAATCTGATGGTGAGTCGGGAATGAGGAAAATGAAGCCAAGTCCAGTGCAAGTAGACAAGGAGTGTGTGTGTGCGGCTAGGTCCAACATAAGTGCAAGTAGAGGAAGAGTGTGTGTGCGGCTAGGTTACCAACATACATCTGCATCAACCATCTTGACATCATTGTCTTTTGAACTCGAGCCCTCCCCACTTGCTTTTAAACCAAATTTCTTACCCTCCTCGTCTCTTAAAGCCTGTTTGAAGATGGGAATCACCAATTGAGAGAGAAAAAGTACAAGGAAAAGCATAGACACTTATCAAAAGTAAAAGTGCACACCTTACGAGGAACTTCCAATCTCTTACGTAAATCGTCTGAACACAAGTCAAAGACATCCAATTCCAACGGATAATCTACTTTCTGAATTTAAAACATTGTTTAGTACTAGAACTCCATAACTCATTAATACTAACCAGAGAAAATCAATCAGAATGTAACATACTAACATGAATACAAACAATAGAACCATAAAAATGACACACTCAATAACGCAATGTACAAAATTAGAGTGTATGCAGCACATGCATCTTTCTATGTATACTGTATAGATGCTCTAGTTTTTAGCACTAGTAGAATTTTTGTGCAAGGACATACTATGATACTAGGATCCTCTTGTTGCAATATCTGAATTTGAACATGAAACATACTGACTCTCCTTTACTCCCATAACTTTCTCAAAGTTGGCCAGACAAGAAAATTGATTTATTCTGCCTGTTAGAGTGATGGGGTACACATCCCACTAAAATATTCCACCCACAACACAAAAGATGAATCTTTCCTTTTCATGAGCAAATCATTTTAATAGACACCCATCCCTTAACACCCCGTGCTCTCCATATTTAGTGAAAACCTAACAACGGAAACATCTTAATAAATGCCAAATGTGAAGAAATAACAAAAATTACCCGTAAAATCTTTGCTTTTTGATTTGATTCCCTTTTCCAGAAAAATCGAACAAACTGAATGGTCAAGTATCTGTCCATCAAAATACAGAATCATTCCAACACAAGTAGCATCATATGGATCATTAATCAGCAAAGCAAGTGGGAATTAAGCAGAAAAATAGAACTTTTGGCTAGGAACATCCATTTCGAATACATATGCCTAGAACATTGTACTTGAAATGCTTGAAAACAAAATTAAAAAGAAAAAAAGAAAGATCTTGATGATTGGCTGATGGCAGCACCAAGATAAGAGAAGACGTTAATATAGAGCTATTGCAAACCTTGGCAAACCATTGATTCGAGAATCTTTGAGGTAAAGTGCACTACGACCTAAAGTTGGAGAAGATTTCTCCAGTTCTGATTTCAGGCCCTGGGAATATAAAAAAGTAGGCAGTTGTCTTGAAGCAAAGATACAAACTATCCAAAATGTGAAGGAAAGTTCACAACATAGACATGTTAGTGTGTAGAATTAAGCTTACACGTTTCAATCCTTCATGCAAATGGTTCACCTCCTGTGAGATGTGGCATTTAAGGGAATAAACTGATTCAGTCTCTGAACTTTCTTCACCACTTTCTGCACAGTGAACCCTAACCAATATCATCAATGAAAATGAAAACGAGCATATAGGTTAGCAAGATACTTTTGGTCAACACAAAAAAATCAAAGAGTCATAAAAAGATGCACAACATAGCAAATGAATTCCAAAAGTTGATCTCTACTTTGACCTCAATAAGATACAGACACAGAAGCGACGATTATACTGTGCCAATTTTTGAAGTACAAAATGCCAAAGAAGAAAAATTCAGCCAAGAAGTTTTGATCATAGATAGACAGTAGACACAATGGATCATTGATCTGGCTCTCCTAAAGAGTAATGATCCTAGCTCAGGGATGGAGTGGAGATAATTACTCTCATACCCTTGGAATGACATTGAATTATGCTAGAAAGTATAACTCACAACTTCCTTTTTTTTCCTATTAATAAGTTAGAGAACAAATGGATAAGGTTGGAGAAATACCTACTGACAAGATCAATGCCAAAAATGTCTTTCACTGTATCGGAAGTATCACTGCAAATGTACAGGACAAAGCATGACTGGAATTGCATTCAAAGGAAAATTTATCAACTATACTTGCATTCAGAAAAATTGAACAAAATGTAAGTACCACACATTTATAGAAGCCTAAAACAAAGTAACGGAAACTGTAACAAGCATAAAAGATAAGGAAACAAGAAGGTCCTGGCATAGAAAAACTGGAAAACAAAGTTCCATACAGATGAACATCGATTAGAATATACATCAGTTGTCATTTTTAAACGTGTTAAACGGAGACTTTTTACCTGGATCCCGGGGTTTTAAGAGACTGGGAAAGGGTGTAGAGAATTTGTGTCCAACACTCTTCAGCATCCTGTTATCATTTGCAAAGTGTCAATCACAATGTTGAAAGGTTGAAAGTCATATATTAAGACTAAAGGACTCTTGGCCACCTGCTGCATGAAGACACCATTGCTGAGCTGGCCAAACTGAGGATATTTCTTACGTAATACCTGTCAACATGACAGATTCCTGTATATAATTATCGTTTGTTACATGCAAAATTGCAAATCATTATTCCATCATTCCAGTTAGGTACCAATCAATCAATCACAATTCAGAAAAATTGAGGGTATCTTTTCAGCTTAGGCATTTTATCAATGTTCACACTACCTTTCATCTTTGAACATTGTTAATTAAACTTCAAAATTTTACTAAGTTCTTTAAAATATTCAGAAAATCAAGATTTCTCAAGTTTTTAACACATTCCTAAATTTTCCAGATACTTCCAGGCCCTACTTCCTAGTGGGGTGTACTAATGCCTTGTTTCATAAATTTGACTATCAGACAACTTTGGCTGGTTTGACCACTTTTAGCTGACTTTAACTAATCAAATTGCTAAAATAAGTGTGGTTTAAAAAATGGTGGTTCAGTCGATTGCCCTCCAGTCTTCACCAGACAATTCCGTAAACACCTCACAATAGCAGTGTTTTCTCCTTTCCTGATATAAACATTATTCCCATTCCAATATTGCCCTTCACTCAACCGGTTTCTTTTTTCATTCTATTCAATTAAGTAGTCCATGCTCAATTTACATAATAGTACAACAATCGAACTTTTCTCAAAACTACTCAACTTTACTACATTATGCTTTATTATTTATTCAAATATTAAATAAATGCTTTAACTGCTCCCTCTTTTTTTATTTGCTCCACAATTCTTTTTTAGGATTTTTTAATTATATACCCCACTTTCCTGATCGTCAAATTATATCATATCAAAGTACATAAACACCCGTCCTTTTCAACTTCCCTTTTTCTCCTTTTTATATTTCTCTCACCTTCTAATCACTACCCCCACTATTTCACTCTTAAACTCCATAAATTATTTACTGGGTCAAATAGAAAACTGAGGGAGTGTATGAATATTTAATTTGCAACATATAATTTTGATTTTATAGTTAGTACTAACAAATATTATAAATATGGTAATTACACAGATGTGTTCTAATTCTTTGAACACGCTAATATCATAAATCAAATAAATTTTTCGTTTAAATTCTTTTTTAAAATCATTGATAGATCATAAACATATAAATTATTAGTATTTTATAACAACTACAAGTATTTTTAAATTTATATCAATAATTATTATTACCACAATACCACTACTCCCTCCATCCCAATATGTTTTGCCCCATCTTTTAATTTTGGGCGTCTCAATACAATTGTGTCATACCATATTTGGTAATATTGTGTGGTTCAAATTCATTCATAGCATGCAAATTCAAAATCAACCACACCATTAGACTTTAAAAATATGTGTGTCACTTTCTCATGTCTAAAAGATAGTTGGGACAGAAGAAGGGGCGGAGCCAAGGCACTGGACTGGTACAAAGAACACTTTTTAGAAAAAAAAAATATACAGAACTTTTTACCTTAAAAATTAAAGCATTTTTTAATTCAGGGTGGGACAGGGCCTAGGTTCGCCCCCGTCTAGCTCATTCAGGGTGACACTTTTTAGGTACCCCTGGACAGAAGTAGTATATACTAAATCCTTCATTGACTTTTCACACCCTAAAAGCTACTTCCAGCCAACTAAATTTACCAAACAGTTAATTTATTAATTACAACAAGCTTACATGACCAGTCAGCTAAAACAGCTGGCACGGCTAACAGTCTAACACAACGCTACCACACGAGATTAACCACTGATTGCAAAACATGATTTACGTTTATTTAGTTTGGTTTAATACAGAAGAATTGAAGATAGGTCAAATAAATCGCCCTCCTTCCCTTAAAAAAGTTCACACTTGACTTTTAGAGTTTAAGGGATTATATATTTTATTTTACTTCAGGAAAGGCTGTTTTATTACATAGAATAAATATTACTTCCTCCGTCTCTTTTTAGTTGCAACAGTAAACATTTCATGTTTGCCAACGCACAACTTTGACCGTCATTATATTTAATTATGTATTAGTAAAAATAAAATAAAAATCAGATTATAAAACTTAGTAATGAGACGAATTTAACAACATTTTTCAAAAAAAATAATTCACATACATTAATAAATAAAATGTAGTCAAAGTAAAGTACATGAATAGTGTATATATTCCAATGTTGCAACTAATGAGATACGGAGGATAGTAATATATAGTGTACTGTTTAACACTGTGTAGTTAGTTAGTTACTATTATTTGAGGATAGCAAGGTAAATTGATAAGATAGTTTGCCAAATCAAGAGGATGTTATTAGAGACTCCCTAAACTCCTGAAGGAATGGAGGAAATTTAAATAGGGACAGAGAGAGTATTACGTTATATCCTGAACCCAAGCCAGTGGTAAATTTGCCCATTTTAGGTTAACTGGATTAAATAAGTTCTTCGGAACTCCAAAGTTTGACATATTATAATTTAAATGTTTAGATTCTTCATTTTCCTTTGGTTAGAGTTATGCTTCATTCACAAAAACAAAGGTCAAGTTGTGTAACAAACATACCGTCCAGAACTGCACTGGAGACACTGGTTTAATGTTTTTATCAAGTTCATTAAATAAATCTCGGGTTGCAACTGTCAGAAGATTGGATGAGCTGTCCAAATCAGTTCTCCTGTCCACATAGGGGTACCTAATGGGAAAAGGTAAACCAGCACAACATGTTAACATGCAATAAAATCAAATTAACAAGTGCTCTTGATTCACTTCCAATAAATAAAATTTAAGTTTATGAATGAAAAGAACTCACTGCATCAGAGCAGATTTCAGCTCTGGAACAGAATGAAGGCATTGAACTGTGGAGTTCATATAGCATGTATTTCCAAGATTAAATAAGCCAGCAGAATGACCCTGGAAATGATGAAACATCTTTTAAAGGGTAATTCAGACAAATAGGGGTAAATTTCCCTGAAGCAAAACCATGCAACATGTTTTGAAACTGAGTGTGATAGACAAATCCAATTAGAGATGAGTAAGCGAAGGGGATCAAACCATCCTAGAAAGGTCCATTATTAAACTACATGTGATAGAAATTCTAAAATACAGACCACATTAATAACTTGCTCCTCTTCTGGCATATCTTCAACAAAGACAGTGCTTTTTTCAGGGGCCTTGACAATTTCATCAGCAGTACCCATCATCATTAACCTTTGTCCCTGGAAAAGAAAACAAAAGTCATGATATCTAATCTATGAGAACAACTTCATAAATGGATAGGGCAATAGGAGTGGAGTACAATTAACCATATGAAATCATGTACCTCTTTAACTCCAACTTCGGACCAATCAGCATCGTCCTAAATGGGAAATAATGAAATAAAAATGAGAAGGGGTTTCTCGAAAATGCAACAGAATCTAGACCTACTGACCTAAAAAAATCAAATATTCAGAGCATAGACCTTGATATTACCTTCAATAGACCACCCTTGACCATAATTTTTTGCCTCTCTGGTGGTACCCCTGTCAAGTCGAACAACTGGCATTTGAAGACATACGGAGGCTGGGTGGTATCTATTTCCACTGCAGGAAACACCTCCTTTTGCCATTTTACACTGACTGCAACATATTCCAATTACCCAGTTGAATGCTCAAAAAACTTTTGACAGAATAAAACCCAGTGTTCCTAGAATACAGTATTATACACCTCCTTCCAAGAAAACCAATACAGCTATCAAATATGAATGCATAATGCTCAATCGAGCTATTAACAGTTCAAGGCGGTACATTCACAACCCTAACAAGAAAAGACTATGCCACAAAAACAACCGAATCTGATCAACAGGTTTAGCTAGATAACCTTACATTTAACTCCTACACTTGAGACTCAAGTGCAAGCAACACGAAATTATCAGGTATTTCGAAAAGGTAATAAAAACTGATTTTTGAAATGCTTAATCCCGGGAATAAAATTGAGAATTAAGCTACTGGTCCAGACCTGTAGGCATCGTAATATGGAGCTTCGGTGTTGGCAGGATCGGGACGGAACTAGAAGAAGAGTGGAATGGCGTCTTCGGTTTGGTCGTGTTTGAACGTTGCTTGGGGACGAGGGCAAATCGCAATCGAGATGAGACCGATATATTGCTGCAGATGCTATCAAAATAATTAATGTTTATGTGTATAATATGTTATCTGTTACAAAAATTTAGACAAAAAATACGAATTACAATTTTGAACATTTAATTATATATACTTCACAAAATAACATATATATAGTAAAAAGAAATAAAAGTATACGCATATTCAAATAGAAAACTTCATTACTACATCAAAGAATAATTCATGGTTGCATAAGTTGATAACAAAAATAAAAATAGTAATTAAATCTAAGACATATTTTTTTGCAAACTAATGTCAACAAATAAGACATAATAACAATAGAATGAGACTAAATTAAAATGATTATCTTTATATGATCATCAAATAACACTCCATTTAAATTCATCATTTTCATCGAGATGAGCGATGACACGTGAGAAAAGTTGTGTGACTGCTATGCGTGCTTATTATTGTTTATATGTAAAAGTTTATATTAAAAAATGTCAGGTTTAGAAAAACTTTAATTTTGACATGCTTATTTAGAAAAGCATTAGACATCTAGTAGTATTTGAGTTTTAGCCTTTTAGGATGCTAGTTTTAGTCGTCATGCAATTTGTTTTAGTATTTAATAATTGTATTTTAACAATAATTAATTAATGTACTTATTAATAATTGTTCGATGTCTATTTTTATGCATTAGATTTTATTTATAACTTATTGTTTTTTTCAAAACTAACAACTACACGTTTTTGTAATTATTTATTTAATAATGTGCATGCAATAAACTAAGTGGGTTGGAGAAAAGGCACATGAGATTAATCTCGGAGGTTTTAAGTTGGAATTTTTTTTACTATTATTATAAATGGTGTATGTACTAAGATTTTTTATAAATATAAATATATAATGGTGTACGTACTATAATTATATATAACTATAATTATATAATGGTGTACCTACTATAATTATAATATTTTATAATGGTGTACGTACTAAGATTTTTTAATAAGTATATTGTGTCCATATGGAGTGCATGTGAGTGTGTGAGTGCATATAAGTACTGAAATTGAGTGCATGTCTCATAAAAAATCTAGGTAAATTAAGATCATGGATGAGGAGAAATTGATAGATTTGGAGATTATTAATCTCTTATGTGGAAATGACATGACAATAAGAAATCATAAAAAATCTTAAACTTGAGTATCATGAATGGAGATGCTCTTAATTACCAAATGGAATGATTGGGGCCCTTTCAAATTTGACTTTACATGGGATCAACGAACACCTACAATGGTTTTAGGTAAAAACATATACATACCTGCACGGCTAGCTCAGTTGATTCAGTGGTGAGAAATTTGGAACAATGACCAAAGTTCAAAATCCGTAGCGATCGTGTGAAGGTTACAACTCTTGTGTGCTGGGATGGACCTCTGGTGCGCACGGGTATAAGGCCTATCATCATTTGGTTGACAGAGTCACCGTGACTTACATCCTCCCAAAAATCATGTCGGGTCGGGCCGGGCCTAGGCCCGGTCGGGCCGCCGGTTTGTGAATGGTGGGCCCAAGATCGGCCCGAGGTACAAGCGGTTCTGGCTCGGGTCACCCGCCTGGGTCACAGGTCGGGCCACCGCCGGGCCGGTTAAATCCATTTTTTTATAATTTATACTTGTTGGGGATATTTTATGGTGTCCAATCTAATTAAATATCTTTGTATTTGTGTAATTATTAATTAAATGTGTAATATGACCCATAAATGTATTTCAGCCCATTAGCCCACTTGTAAGCCTTAAGTTAGACATCCTTATGCATAAAACGAGGATCGAGAACAAATGCAATACCATAAATATGTGAATAATATTTTAAAGGAATTTTATCAATTCAGGACCCGGAAGAGATTAATTATCAACTCGGAACCTGAAAGAAAAAATGCATCGATATAGGATCAGAATGATGAAAAACTATCAATTTAGGACCTGAATGATTGAAAACTATTAATCTAGGGCCTAAGCTGTCATAAATTTTTTTATTAAATTTTTTTAAATATTATTTCATTTCATTAAACTAATAAACTTTTGTGAAGAAAAGTTTATCAAAAATTAGTAATGGAATTAATAAAAAATTAAATAAATCAAAACCTATGAAACGTTAGGTCCTAAATTGATAGATTCCATCATTTGGGTCCTATACCGATACGTTTCATCTTTCGGGTCCTGAATTGATAATTAATCTATCTTTTGGGTCCTGAATTGATAAAATTCCTATTTTAAAAACTTTTCCTACATAAAACCAGAAAAATAACTCACATAATCGGCATTCTCGAAATTTGAAAAAGCACCGGCGAGATTAACAACTTCACGAATAAATTGGTTTGAGGTAGGTTTATAAACATGATGGTCCCGGATAGAGGTAAAAGTATAGAGGGGGGGAGGGGGGGTGAATAGACTTTTAAAGTTTTTTCAACTTTAAAACTTTTCCCTTCTAGATGAGTTGATCTATAATCTTTTGGGAGATTTATAGATGCACAACGGAAGTCTTTAACCTCTTAGATAAATGATGTATAATAACTTTCTATGATGGATGAAGTTTGGGCTTTGTAAGGTGAGCAGTTGGCTTTGCAGTTGGCTAGAAAGCAGAGAACTGCTGAGGCAACTTCTAGCGAAATACTCAGTGTATGATGATAGTGCACTCAGAATCTTTCTCAGAGTGGGAAGAGCTTTCTGATGATATAACAAGGTAGATTAATAATCAATCTTAATGAGAGCAGTTGTCTCAGCAGTTGGGTGGTAATCAGGGAATTGCTGAGGCACCTGCTTAAGTAAAGGTGAAGGTTTGGAAAGATTGATTATGTGGAGTTTCTCAGGATGATGTGGGCTTTCTGAAGATGTACATTAGTCCAAGTAAGTGGGAGTTTTACTGGAGCAGTGGTTTCAACAGTTGGGTGATATTGAGGGAACTGCTGGGTTACCACTTTGAACTACAGTGATTAGTTTGAACAGACTTCTTGGCGATGGAGTTGTGAAGGTCTGGTGAAGTGGAGATGTTCAAAGGAAACACTTTTGCGTGAGCAGTGGGCTTAGCAGTTGGGTAGTCCCTAGGGGACTGCTGAGGCAACTGTTGTGCCTTAAGTAGGATTTCCTGAAATCTAATGGAACAGACCTTATAGTTGTGATATTGTAAAGCTCTTGTATCTCAAAGAAAGTGAGTTATTAAGCAGTAGGATAAGCAGTAGAGTCAATTAAGATTACTGCTTAGGATGCTGCTGGCAAACTACAATCTTTTATGAGAAGTGTTCAGTGTGTACTTTGTTGACTGAAAATGAATCAACACACAGTATATCCTGGTTCAGAGGTGGTGTAATCGTGTTACATCCAGTCCCACCCTCTTTCAGATGGATTTCACTAATGTATTAAGCCCAATACACGTAGTGCCAATCTAGCCTTGACTACTCTGGCCTAGATTGAAGGTGTTTCACAAGGAGTACAACACCACTCCAAGCTACTCAATCCTTAAGGTTTTTCTCAATTGATCCAATGGGGATCAAAAGGTACTCCTGACCTATCTAACCACACTCAGACCGGGAACAACTGTCCTCCTGAAGTGTTTACAACAATTTCTGATCTTGTTACAAGAAAGTTCTAACCTCCAACCAGGAACTAAACTTCTAGGATTTTAGCAATGAACACTTGATACTAAGAAGTTTAGTGAAGCAAGAGTCTAAGCAGAGAGTCGTGGATAGAATAACACTTTTTCTTTTGCTAGATATTTCTTGAATGCTCAATAGAAGTATCTCTCTACTTAGGATGCTCAAGCTTGGTTAGAAACTTTCGTTTTTGCCTCTATTTATAGGCTTTTTGGCTGATCAATCTTATCCGTTGGTTAGGATAGATTGATCTCTTCCGTTGAATATTGGCGAGGACGATTTGCTCTTCACCTTCTTGTGTTGGAGCTTGATTCTGGACGTGTATTTTGTCTTCAATAATTAAGCCGCTGAAGCATTCCTTCAAAGGCAGTCCCATGTGTGCACTTCAATGCTCTGGACCCCAGTACTTGACCAGCATTAACTGCCGGCAACGTTTGTCTTCAATAATTTTGGGCGCTGAAGTATCTTCTATGTGTGCGTCTCATGCTGCCGCCCTCAGTACTTGATTCGGTATTAAATACCGGTCAAGATTTGACTTCAATCATGTACATTCAATGTATATGATTTTTGAACCTATTTTCTTTTTGTGACATTTAATTAATCTTTGAGCTAAATAATATTTGCCGGTAGGATCTAAATATCCTATGAAGGTAAAATTTCTTTAGTCTCAAAAATTGTACATTTACATTTGTCACTTAAATTTGAATGCTATTAAATGAGACACAATGTACACGTGCAAAGTATAGTGGCATCATCAAAATCTATCAAAAATGGGTACTAACAAAACATGACTAAAAGTTTCAGTTGCATTATTAAAATATACCAAAGCATTACAAATTTTTTCGCATGTGTTGATCTCAGCCGAGTTTATAATATAGTTATCATATTGTTTCATAAAAGCAGGAAAATGTTGTTTATATCTAAGAAGAACTGCAATTAACTTATAAGTACTATTCCAACGAATAGACAAATCTTTAGGAAAAGTCACATATTTCTCACCTCTTTCTATCAAATAATCATGCCATTTTTTTTCTAAGCTGACCATTACCCCAAATACGTCTAATCCCCCCCCCCCCCTGACTACCTCCAAAGATGCTCCTAACGCTTTTAGACCATCTTGCACACATAAATTTATAACATGACATGCACATCGTTGATGAAAAAATCTACTCATCAAAGAAATAGAACCACACAATTCACGCAATCTAGGAATAACAGCAGTATTATTAGTAGCATTATAAAAACCAATAGCAAACACCTTATCAATTAAATTATACTCAATTAAAATACGCTCAATCAAAATATAAATATGTTCAACGGTGTGACGATCATTAAATTCACGAAAATCAAGAGCACGTTTATGCATATTCCAATCATTATCAATATAATGTACAGTCAGACCCAAATAATGTAAATTAAGATAAGTATCCTCTCATATGTCAGAACATATAGTAACACGTCCATCAAAGTTTGCAAAATAATTTTGTAACCTTACCTTTTCTGCACAAAGCCTTGAAATTTCTTTCTTAACCGTTTTGGGACTATAACCTCTAAATTGAGGATTTAAACAAGTTTGTGCGTAATCACAAAAAGCAAGACTTTCAGAAAACAAATAAGGCGAATTTTCTTCAGCAAGTAAGTTAGCCATACCGGTCAAAGTTTGTGCATCATTGTATGAGAAATTACCAAAAGGTTGCTGGTCATTTGCAAATCTCGATATTTGAGTTTGCTTCCTCGTCGCTGCCTAATTTTGCATACTCCACCATGTGTTTGGACTTAAGATGCCTTGCGACGGATTCGTATCCGCCGGAAACCCTCAAGCTATAATTTTTCTTGCACCACTTGCAAGTTGCGTTCCAAATCCCGGTGTTCGAGTTCTTCCACTTATCAAAAGTATTACGCATTAGTTCAGATTTACTTTTTTCGTACCTGTTTGGGATGAGGTAGGCTCGTCGGCGTCGTGGCTGCCGCCACCCTCCTCCGCGTCGCCGTCGTGGCTCTCCGGAATTACTTCCTCCACATCGTCATCCTCGAGCTCTTCTTCGTCAATGGTCCTCGGCTGATCATGGAAAAACCGACTATTATGTCGGTGCAATTCTTGTTCTACTTGTTTGTCGGCCATGGCATCCCCATCCCTCCTTGGGTAACCTGTATCAAAATCATCTCGGCTTTTAGATGAAGAGCCGGTATGTGATTTACCTTTGCGGGATTTCTTCCTCGCAAGCTCGCTCGTTCGGTTGCGCTCGAGGTTACCCATATCAACCGAATATCTACCACCTTCCATCTTAAAAATGTAACACATATTAATTTATAAAAACAATTCGAACTAATGAAATAAAATTCTAACAATTCTAACTTTAATGAAATAAAATTCTAACAATTCTAACTAAGTAGATATAAATTGTAATATGTATGTATTTAGTAGATATAAGTAGATAATAAGTAGATAATAAGTAGAGATTAAGTAGAGATTAAGTAGATAACAAATATAAGTAATATAATATATGTATTTATAAATAGATAATTAATACTATAACTATATAAGTAGATAAGAAATTTAAGTAATATAATATATGTATTTATAAGTAGATAAATAATACTCGTACGTAATATAAGTAGATATATAATATATTGGAGAATAAGAGAATTTGAGAAGATGAAGATAATTAGAGAGTAGAGAGTAGGATTTAGGAAGAGTTGGAGAAGAGACATGGAAAAATGTTTAAGATTAGGAGTATTTATAGTTTGTTTTTAACCCCCCCACCCACCCCACCCCCAAACCGCCCGGACCCCTTGCCAGCCAACCCAACGGCTACATAGCCGTTTAGGTAGTCCCCAGCCCACCCCCAACGGCTATTTGTGGCACAAAACAATTTTTTAAAAGTTTTGACCGTTGGACCCAGACCCGACCCGGCCGAGCCGGGTCACCTTTTGCCGGAAATGAGCCCCCCCGGTTTGGGTCTACACCCGGTCCCGGACCGCCAGACCGGGCCGGTCCCGAGCCCGCACCGTAGCGGCCCGGGCCGGGTCACGGGCCGGGTGGCCCGAACCGAATCCACTAGGGGTGGTCATAAAACCCGAACCGAACCGATACCGAACCATCCCGTAATGGTACCGAACCGAATACCGGGTATTTAAATGGTTCTATGGATTTTTATCTCGTACCGAAACCGTACCATTTGAAACGGGTACGGGACCAGTCCTAGTTTTTGAGAACCGAAAAATATCGGACCGAACCGTTCGTAAATAATGCATTTGAATTTTTTATATTTTTTCTATATCAATAGATCTAGACCAACAACTTTATACCCCAAGTATGTATTCATGTGTCCCTAAGATATCTAAAATGTGTTGTGTGTGTGTGTGTGTGTGTGTGTGTGTATATATATATATATATATATATATATATATATATATATATATATATATATATATATATATATATATTGCTAGTTTTTTTATAGATAATTTATGTTATATTTTGGTATGTATTGAAATAATATTAAAATTTTAGAAATCATTAATGATTATTTATTTCTAGTAATGTAGTGTACATGACTTTTTTGTGTATCATTGTTTGTGCATTTTTTACAATTTAATTAATATGGTTTAAATCTTAGCTCTCAAGATTCAACTATAAATTAAATTAGAACTACGGAGTAATATTTAACCTAGAACGAAGAAGAAGAACGTTGAAGATTTTTATTATATTCAACAATGTGATGATATTCGTTTTTATATTTTCACATGAACTTAGTAAATTAAAAATGATATTTATCTCGTGCGTCATCGTTTTGCTATACTTTTTCTTAGTTGTGTTGCACTATTTGTGTATTTGTGAATTTTAGTACTAGGTATGCAATTTCTTGTATTTATTTCAACATTTCATGTGAGTTGATTGGTGTGATGATATCTACTAATTACAAGATTTGTTCAAAAAATTTAGCATGTGTTTAGCATTGTACCGTACCATTTTGTACCATTCCGAAACGACATGGTACTGAACGGTTCTATCCTTGGAACCGGACCGTACCGGACCGTTAAAAACCTCACAGATACATTACGGATTTTACTAATTTACCGGACCGTTCCGGATCGCGCCCACCCCTAGAATCCACCCCTAGCTTTTAGTGACGGAAAAGATCTTAAATAGAAAAGGTGGTACGTGTTTGGTAAAAAGCTGGCTGTTTGAACTGCTCTGATTAAATCTGATCTGAAACTAGCCCAACTAAAAACAAACATACTAAATAGGAAAGACTTTATAACTAGCTCTCTGATGACACCCCATCCCTGAGGGCCCCTCAACCCGGACCGGACGGTACGTTGGGAGGATGTAAATTGAACTATAATCTCAATCTGACAGATAGAGAGTGGGGCTCTGTCCCCGGTATTTGCAGAGGTCCTATGCATATTTTAACATAGTAACCTCTCATTGCAATTGTCGGGATTCGAACCCGAGACCTAACCCTTGTGGCACTCCCTCGCTACCAGTTGAACTACGCCCACCGGTAACTTTATAACTAGCTCTATGTTCAGTAGTGGGTGGGTTATATTAAAGAGAAAATTGCTCTCCATAGGATCAAATCAAAGGAACTTTACAAAAGTAGGATTAAGCTATGTTTTCCCATGTGTAGGATCTATTTAGCACAGTTTTAGGAAACTTTATTCTTGTCTTCCATTTTTACCCTTCCTGTTATCCTCTGCACTCGCTCTCTGCAATTCTCCTCTGCCACAACCTATCTCTCCCAACCTCACATCCCTGCACCATATTCAGCCCCCAACCATTGCACACCATTGCCCTTCCCTGGCCATGAGCGCCGCCGCCTCAGCAGCCCCATTCCCAACCCCAACCCTTGAACAACCATAACCCCCCACACCGGCACTGTATCCCCTGCAATTGCTGCACATCACCGCTACATCCTTCCCCCAATCCCTTCAGACCACCGCCTTCTCCAAAAAAAACTAGCCTCAACGCCGATCTGAAGTCGTAGACTTCTTTTAACCCATGACTCTTCGTCTACATCGCAATATGCCTGACAGAAATTGAGAAGAAGAAGACGTGCAGCGGACAATGACCTAGAGGTGGAGGCGGCGACCCAGAGGCAGTGACCGGAAGATGGAGGAGAGGCGGCGAACTAGCTTCGGAGGCGGAGACCTGAAGACGGAGCTGCGTGGATCTGGATTTGTGAAGGACAAATGGGAGAGTCGGAAGAAGATGGGTTCAGTTAGGATCCCATGGAGACAATTTTCTTCATTGTTTGTTTATTGTCTATTTATTGTCTGTTATTTTCTAAAAGTAAAGGTATTGTGATCAATGCATGTATAGTTGAGTCTTACTCTAATCTTCGGTCTTAGTTTTGGAAAATTAGTACGATTTGATCCTATTTGTAAAATTTTCCCTATATTAAACTGAGTAGGTGGGTTATATTAAACTGATAACAACCATTCTTGTACAGTCACACTGAACCAGTAACACATAAACCGCTCAAAACTTGGGAAAACAAAAATCTCAAAGCCTGGCTATTGACACTAGTATACTAAAGAAACCACTGTGAAGTGATAGATAAGGGTATTGGGAAGTTTATTTATTGGATCTCAGAAGTAGAATAGAAAAGAAATGTATTATGACTGATCTTCAAATAACATCTGGAAAAAAGGCTAGGGTAAACTGCAAACTAGCACCGAGCTTCAAATAACACAAGTAGTAGCATCAATCAAGTAAATGAAAATGCACAACATATTTTGTTCTCCTAATTGGGGGCTAGGCCTGGCCTATTCAACTTATCAGAATTTTGCAGAAACTGATCTTACCAAACACTTCTTTTAAAACTTTCAACAAATTCAACGATTTCATGGTGTTAATCCTATGAAAGAAGCCCATAATAAATATCTTAATACTATTAATTTGTAAAACTACACCTCCACGAACGAGATTATAACCCTACTCAAGTCCCTGACAAACAAATAATAACCTCTTTGTAGGCAAATACCAGAGAAAATGTTTATATAGCATCAAACATATTCAAGCACTCTGTAAACGCATCAGCACTTGGAAGAATGATGCTGCACATAACAATAATAATTTCATAATAAGAGCCCTAAAGCATTAATGGAAATGAACTCCACATTCCAAATGTTAATATAAATACACCAAGGCATAGGCAGGCACGATAGACAAAGTAGAGATTCACTTAATACACAATTACAGTATATGGAAGTGGTCATCTGCAGTGCTATAAGCACAAAATACTTGTAGAACATCGTTTACCCACGGGCCTTGAGCTCAGCAAGGCGTCTTGAAAGGTCATCCTCGTCAACCTTCTCAGCGGTGTTTGTGGGCACAGCATGAGCAGCAGGCTGTGGAAGCCCAACGGAAACCTCGAGCCCATAGTCATCGGCCACCTGTTGCATAAGGGAGTTGACCTGGTCCTCAGGGGTGGACAGGGAGGTGCTCCCGGCCATGGAGCTCTCCATGAACTCGGCCTGGACCTCCATATTCACAAACTGCTTCTCGAAAGTGTCCATTGTCTCGGACAACTTCTGGAGATTCCCAGTGTTGAGGGTACTATTGAGGGATTTGACGATGTTGCCCATGGACTTGCCGATGCTTGTCATCTTAGCCTGGGTGTCGAGGCGAGCCACGACGGCATCGAGCCTGGAAGCGAGGCGGAGATAATTCATCTGCTCGCTGCGCTTCCTGATAGAGTTCTCGGCGTAGATTCGAGCTCCGTCCATGTTTCCCTTCTCGATTGCTTTCTTGATCTTAACCTTCTCGGCTTTCTCCTCTTTCTCGCATTTACGAGCCTGGCGCTGGAGACTCTTCGCCGTGAACTTGAGCTCCATGATCTGATTCATCAATTTGTCTGCGTTCCCCATGATTTCTTCGTCGGGGATGATTTGCGATTCAGGTTAGGGTTTGACGATTTTTCAGAGTTTGCGTGTGATCAAATGGGGAGAATTTTCTCTTTTCTCAGAAATCCATACGACTCCTTATTTGAATAAAATACGTACTGTAGTAAATAATAATGCTTCTCTAGTCATCACAGCACCGTGACCGTACACACGGTAATAATAGGTTATAGATTTAGGGAAGTGTTTGGAACTAAATTTTTTTGAAGCAAAAAAATTTGGGCATTTCTGCATAACTTGTAAAAATCGTCAAACCCTAACCTGAATCGCAAATCATCCCCGACGAAGAAATCATGGGGAACGCAGACAAATTGATGAATCAGATCATGGAGCTCAAGTTCACGGCGAAGAGTCTCCAGCGCCAGGCTCGTAAATGCGAGAAAGAGGAGAAAGCCGAGAAGGTTAAGATCAAGAAAGCAATCGAGAAGGGAAACATGGACGGAGCTCGAATCAAAAAATTTGGGCATTTCTGCATAACTTGTAGTAAATAATAATGCTTCTCTAGTCATCACACCATAGCACTGCAGATGACCACTTCCATAAATTTCACAGAATCAGTTTTCAGAAGCTCGTACCCACAGCTTCTGAAAAAACTGATTCTAGAAGTAAATTAGAGCACCAGAATCATTTCTGCATTTTCACTCAAACACTCCAACTTCTGCTTCTGCTCCCCGTGTTTGGAACTAACTAGATTCTCTCCCGTGCGATGCACGGGATATAATTTAAATAATAATTATATGAGTAACTAAAATTTTGTGATATAATTATTAGTTATGTAAATGAATGCAAAAAATATGATTGTAATACATACAAAACATTGTATTTGGTACAAAGTGGTTTTCAAATAATAAAGTGAATATATTTTACAATAATAACATTTCCGCGGACTACGCATTTTGAAATACTTACTTATAAATTTCATTGATAGTATGGTCATTTTGTTTGCCATGTTCACGACAGATTAATATTTTCAAACTCATAATCCAAAAAGCATAGAGTTATCACACACATAAACAATCCCATAGTTTTTTGTCACAAAACAAATCTAAAACCTAAGTCTCAAAACAATTTCAGTGTTTTTTATACAACAAAATAATAGGCAAGCTTGAAACGCCTAATTTAGTAGCGGTTCAAGAGCACAACAGCCCTTCTCCCGCGTCAGCAGCTCATCAGAAGCGTCCAATGCCCAGTCCAGCAGCCCACCAGCCCTTTCGTATCCAGCGGTTCAACAAATTAGGGTTACCATCGGTTCAGCCCAACCTCCATAGCCCACTGCCCACATTATCTACCGCCAGCGCACCGCATCGTACAATATTGAAAATTCAAAAATGAGGTGACACCATGTACCCGTTGTGCATAAGTCTGACCCTTCATCCCACCCCCTATCCAGTCTTCCACCTGGTAGCGGCGACCGTAAGCTTCCCGAGGACCAATGGACGGCTGAAAGAACTCATAGCCGGAGAATACGAAACCACCCAAACCCCCACCAGGTTCAGGAGACTATCTCGGCAGAAACGGTGGAAGCTAAAAGATCCTAGCTGGAGAAAACGAACCGCTATCAAGCCATGTTCCTCACCCAACCTCCGTACCCCCCTCAGACCCCAGCAACCTCTGTCGGCAACAGCGAGATGACAAAGACAGGTGGCTTTACAGTAGCCGGAAGAAGAGAAGTCCAGACCAAACCCAGATATCATATGAGAGACCACATACCCAATCGAACTATATTTTGTGCTAAACAACTGAGATAAGTTAGTATTTATACTACTTTCTATGTTGATTGATAATTCGAAAGTTTAAATCCCTTTGAACCAAAGAAAAACCCAATGGTTCATAACATGCATCAAGGAATGCACGCCACATTAATTGAAAGCATTGGGCAGTACAAATTTTGACTAAACATTTCAAACTTTTTATTCAATCGAGAAGCTCTAATTGTTAAATACAGAGAACTTGGCTAAAACATTTAAGAGTCCAATAAAAAGGTTTTACTCCATGGCTTTACATGCTACTCTTGTCTGTAAAAAGCAAAATCAGTCAAATTTCCGGTACAGAGCATTAATTGTACCTTTTGGCTTTAGCCCAGGCCTGTATTGGTAACCCGACCCGATCCTTATTAGTCTGGCACTTTGGGCGGGAAAAGTAGGTTGCTTTTCTCTTGCTTTTGTATATTAAAAGATTTTTTTTGAAGCAGAAGCAGAATCAGTTTTCAGAAGCTCGTACCCACAGCTTCTGAAAAAACTGATTCTAGAAGTAAATTAGAGCACCAGAATCATTTCTGCATTTTCACTCAAACACTCCAACTTCTGCTTCTGCTCCCCGGAGGAGCAGAAACAGTTTTAAGAATTAGATCCAAACACCCCCTTAGTTTGTTATGGACCAAAATTTGTTGGTCTGATCTGATTTCATTTGATTTGATCTAATCTGGTTTGGTTCGATCTGAATTAATCCGGTCTGGTAAATGTCTGATCTTTGTGTTTTTTATAACTATGAAAGTCTGATCTGATCAGGTCTAGTCTGGTCTGGGATTGAAAATAATTCAAAAGAAAACATCTAAAGTCTGTAATTGCTACATTTTTACCCATTTATCCTTTATTATTTATTGTAAATGTCTGGATATGCCTTATTTTACGTCATAAAATAGAAATAATGACTCCAATATTACATCTCATGTTTCTAATGACAAATATATGACTCATTTTTCATTTTCCAAAAAACTGACCCAATTAATAATGACTGGGCTCAAATGTCCCTGGAATGACCTACCCGGTCAACTCCCCTGCTACATGGACGAACAATGAGCTCTTCAGATGCAAGCGACCCACTCTCTCGCCGGTAACCTAAAGCCAACGCCTACCTAGTACCTTCTGCCGCGCGTCTGACCGCCGCTCATGCCTCCCACTACTTACCATATGTCTTCGTTATATAGCCCAACCGCCACTGCCGATGTTGCCCTGCTGCTGTGCTGCCTTCGTCGTCGCACTTCCTTCGCATCCACCGTCGCGACTTTCCAATCTTCTTCTTCTTCTTCTTTTTCTTCTTCTTCTTCTTCTTCTCTTTTTTCCAGCTAGAGCACCGATTTGACAATTATTTCAGTCATCTTCATCGCTCGATATATTGGTGTAAGACGTGGCTACAAATTGGCGATGATGGCAGGTTTGATGTGTGTTCTACCAATTGAGGCTACCGGTGGGCAGGGTGTGCACGCGAGTTTGGAGGCAATTGAGCTAACGGATTGGGCGGGCAGGGTTGGGGATGACAGATTGACAGTGGTGGTGGTGGCTGGAACTCCAGCTCTGGGAGGTGTTGAGGCCATTGCAGCAGGAAGGAGAAGGAGTTTGGATCCTCTCCATTAACTGGATAGTTCCATTATGAGAGAGATAGAGAGGAGAAAATTAAGAGTGGGGTATGTTGGTGAATAGTATAGAGAAAAAGGTAGAGATAGATAGGAAGTAAAAAGGAAATGGAGGGAAAATGGATAGAAAGAAATGGAGAGGAGCTGCACCCGCTGGAAAGGGTAGGGGTGGGTGGTCACTTACGGAGTGGTTGGTTATTGGGGGTGGCAGTGGCGATTCACTGGCGTATTGCGGGTTGCCGGGGGTTTCCGACAATGGTTGGCAATGGTGGCTGACTATTCTAGGCTGGTGGTAGCCGTAGGTGGCCGGCAGGTTGTGGTCAGAAAATTTTCTAGCGACACAGTGACACGTTTCACGACGACAGTGACATCCTAAAGTGACACGAAATCTGGTAGTGACATTCAAAAATGACATATATACTTGATAGTGACATACAACAGTGACATCATGTTTTTTCAAATAAGTGACCTTCTTAGTCACATTTATGCCCTTTTTAAAAAATGATCACTTTTTCGGAAATCGGTTTTAATTTGGTAATATTCTAGGAAAAAGTCCCATAAAATAAGTACTATGTAACTTTTTAAGATGTATACAAAAATATATTATTATTTAGACGTGACAATGAATTGGATATGAGCGAGTAGCTGTGCAAAATCTAGACTCATCAATCTGCCACAGACTTAGGGGGGTGTCCCTAATTCGGATTCTGGAGGATTTTAATGGAGTTTAGATTCCGTCAGAATTCAGCTGTCTCCGATTTGGATTTCTGTGGAATCCATGAAAATAAGGGTGTTCTTAAACATTTTATGGATTTATGTTGTTACTTATTTGCACGGATTTTAATGAATTTCGATGAATTTTTATATACAAAACATCCACCACAATCTTGTAGACTTCCCTCGCATTTCAAAATCCACAATCTTTTAAAATCCATCAAAGTCGTGATCGGGGACACCCCTTACTATAGATATGTCTATCTCGTAACTCACACGTGACTTACTGAGTCAAGAAGTAAATTTCAATGCCAATTGAGATCAGGATTGGTAAAGTAAGTTGTAAGTTATTGCGGCTATTGGTGGCGTACAACAACATACACAATTAAGTTATGAAAGTTCAGTTACAAGTCTAACACCTCTTTTAAGTTCAAAAAGGAATGAAGTTTGTGGCTTTATGCCATCTTTAACGGCAATGCATATTTTTACAACAAAGTAAACAATTCAGAGAGGAAATTTGTAAAATTAAAGTACACATACTATACATTATATAGTGCCAAATACGCATCGAGTTAAAAGTCCGACTAAAATACGCAATATGTATAATAATATACCTAGTGTTCCCAAAATGAAATTTCAATTCACTATTCATATTCTCAAGGAAACTCTATTTGTATCATATACAAATTCCATTCTTGCGATTCAATGGAACTCTTAACATAATTTCTAATATAAAAATTCTTATTACAAATACATCTTAAATAGTAGAGTTGTTGGGTTAATGACTCAATGGGGGTTGGCTCATAAACCCTTATCCTACGAACGTCCAGAGAAGGCCCAACACAACGGGTTAGCCCCCGTTATCATCGGCGAGGTTCATCCCCAACTGGGCCAAACCCAGGGGACGTACGTATCCTAGCGTAGGCAGGTACCTTGGTCCAGGAGCAGCAAGAGACACATGTCTCGAAGGACTTCGGCAGGAAACAGGAGGCAAGCTCATGGGGACGAACGTCCCGAGAAGGCACAAGATAACAGGATACCCTTCCCCATCATCCAGGGGACGTACGTATCCCAGCGTAGCAGGTACATTGGCCCAGGAGCAGAACGAGACACACGTCTCGCTGGAAACAGAAGGCAAGCTCATGGGGACGAACGTCCCCACCCCTTGGCGGACAGCCAAGATCATGGCGGAATTCTGCATTTAATGCAGAAGATTTGATGGTTGCGCATTTAATGCAGAAGATCTGGTGGTCGGGATCGCGCTAGGAAAACCCATGTGGACGAATCTCCCCACCCCTTGGCGGGAAGACAAGATCATGGTGATTGCGCATTTAAAACATAATATTTGGTGGTTAGGATCAAGTCATCCACAGTTGGGTTCAATGCATCTAACTACCAATTGGTGGTATAAATAGTAACATTTCTTTCTTTGTAACAGAGGCAACTTAGCACTCTAATCTCTGTTCTAAAAATCGTTCTAGGCTGTAACACCGCCCCCGAGTATTTGTACTGTACCAAATTATGTACTGAACCTTGAGAAATGTATAAAAGCATTTTTACGTGATTGTAAATTTTTATCATTTCTATTACGTGAATAGTAGAATTCACGTGGGGCCCACACCGGAGGTGGGGCCGCCCGATATTATCGGGATCACATGTTATATTAATCTTGGGCTAGATAATATGAATATGGTGGTAGATATCCTAATTGGGCCATGGCGATGGCATATAGTTGACCGGTTGGTCAAACGGGGCCAAATTATCGATATCGGAAATTATCAGATAACAGCCCAAAAAGGGATTTCGGAGACTTCTAAATTAAAGTTGGGGAATGCATATTGTTACTAAGGTCCAACAAGGATTGAGAACAAGTGTTATATTTTATTTGACCCGATAAAATAAAATATACTTAAAACAGTCCGGAAAATACAACTTTCGGGACCGATTGTACACTCGGGTACACAAAGGGTTGACCTCCCACATAAGTGGGGGCCAACCCACGTCCTTAGCTCTGCAAGGATTCAAGGGGAGCCGCACAAACATAAGGAAAAAGGGGCAAAAGTTGATGGGAGGCCAAACCAATAAATGGAGAGGGGTCCCTCCCCATATTATTGGTGAATAAGCCAAAAAGGCTATCCCTCTCACCCCACACCCCATATGCTCGACTCAATCATCCAAGGAAGGGAGAGAAACTCTGAAAATACTCCATTTCCTCATCCTTTCACGCACCAAGAACAAAGTAGGAAGAAGGAGGGGAAAAGAGAAGAGAAAAGTTGGTTTTGGAGAGGAAAACTTGTGTTTAGCAAGGTAAGGACTCCATTAACCCCATTTCGTTTTCTTTAATCATCTTATATGATTATTCAATCATATTTCACACCCTAGGATTGTTCTACACGTTGGGATGTGTAGAAAGAGGGGTTGGAAGGTGGTTCTAAGTCCAAGAACGGACTTAGGAGCCAAAGGACCGGTTCGCTGGAAAATAACCTTTTGAAGGTTATTTATATTACTATGGGTTTTATGATGATAAAACCATGTTAGTAACTTGTCTAAGGTATTCAAGGAACTTTCACGTAGTTGAAAAGGTCGCCGGAGTTGTCGCCGGAGTTCGTCGAAGTTCGCCGGAGTTTCGCCGAAGCTAAATCGGGAAGGCTAGGACTTCATAAGCTTCATTAAGGTGAGAAGACGACTTTATGCTTTATAACTTTTGCGTGAGGCATGAGATTACCTAAAGTAATCAAGGATATGTTTTGTGGAATGATTAAAGATAATCAAGTATTTGCTTATGCCATGATTTTGCATAAAACATAGTTGAAAAGCATGTTATGTAGGTTTGGGGATTAAAAATGTGATAACATATTTTGT